TCGAGTAGCTACATGAAGGTGCTGACAGACTGAATTCAGGTGATAGGGGTAGCCCGCCAGAAGCCCAGGTTGACTTGTCTCTGGCTTGTGCGACTCAAAAGAACGAGCTTGAGATTTCCTTCGTGATTTAAAACCCTCGGCATAATTCAAGGTGAGATGAGATAATGGTCGATTCTGAATGACACCTTTCAAGAAGATCCGGACTCATGTCTGCCACCGCCCCCGTCAGCTGACTTAGAAGACTAATCAAAGAAAAAGGTCTTGTCTCATCACTCATTTCCTAAAATAGGAGGAAGAGTGCGCGATAAGATCGCATGCAACCCGATGAATTTACCCTTTACCACCCTTCAATAATCAGATTATATACATAATAATCTAATAAAAACATTGAAATGACGGTCTAGAATATTTCACTTAGCTCGGTTACATTTACTAATCTCATGTCATGCATATACACGAGGTAACCGTAAGAATACATCCATTTTCCTTAGAACACAAACGTACATATATTATGAAAATGACGACAATCCCAGTTGATGAAGGCAAACATAAAACTGGCGACGACATACGTAAAGTTGCAACCTGCGGGACACCATAGATAATCTGGATTTGAGGAATACGCATTATCTTAAGACAAATATGACAGAGTGATGGATGGATATCCAGTGGAATTGGAACGAGATGAAAGAATAAGAAAACAATTCAGTGGCGGAGAGAAAACAACGAATGCAATTAGTGAAAAGAGAACAGCATTTAGACCATTACATCATTGGAGGCGTGCAAATATTCAATCACTTTTAGACCTCCCACTATCTAGATTCCGCAATAAGCCTCTCACCAGCTTCTTCATCATCATCCCTCCAGACCCAGTTGCCAGAGGTGATAGATAAGACAATATTAATATGTTGAGATATTGACATCCATTGGGTAGATCAACCACAAAGCATAAACATATGTAATAATTTATCTCCTCTGATCTTGATCAATTGGAAATTTATAATCCATAAAACCCAGTGCATTGCATACACCGTCACCGTATGCTACAGTGCTCTTGAAGGACTTCATTCAATCTTCAATGTCTTCAAGATGCTTTTTCTCACCACACAAAGATTTAAAATTTGGGGGTTTGATGCCAAGCTTGATATCTATAATGAAGGTAATTTTTTGGGTAAAAGGCACTTGACCAATGGAGTATTAATATTTTTTGGAACTTGGATGCATACATGGACATAATTTAAACTCGTCCAATAAGAGTAATTGGAATTAAGAAATATCAGTGTCGTATTTTTTCAGAATATTTTCGTTAACGTTCAATCAAACGATCCAGAATCTTGCCACCTTTCTATCTCCAAAGATTTATGACAGCGTTTGACCTTCTACAAGTTGGCGTAAAACATGCATTTAGAAGCAATTGATGGTGTTAGGATATGTTTGTCCTTCATGTTTACAGGCGAAAGTTTCCAGAATATGAAAACAGTGGTCAATCTAGGGTGACGAACCATCCATCCTGCCTTTCAACTTTTCTCTTCGAAACAAAAAAGTTTAGTATAAGTAAGAGCAATCGTGTGTTTCTCCCGACATCAAGATCCTTTGAGATGCCCCTCCAAGATTTACGATATTATTTTAACGAGACAAGAAATCTGATGCCTGACAAACTGGCCCCCATACATAGATCTTACCCTCTTTCAATATCCAGAACTAGATTCCCGCTCATCTAGGATAATTTTTTTCATAATTAAAAAAAAAATCGCCAACATTTTCTTTGTATCCACCAAAAGCATCCCGACGATGTGATCAAGTTTCAACATAAGGGAACTGCATAACATGTGAGATAAAAATCTAGCCTCATTTTAGTGTCCAAGGAACAGAAAACTAAATGATTATTTTATTTTATTTTCTGCTTAATTTCCTACCTAGAGCTTAATCTGTAATATCGTTATGATTTTATTTGAGAACATTTTTTGGTTTTCTAGATAAATACGTCTCAATACAGGTTTTATCACCCGTTAAAATAGCTCTTAAAAAAATTCGAGAGAATTATCGTGTAAGCCTCATTTCCTCCCTAGAGTCGGAACTGTGACGGCATTATGATTCGTTTTGAATATTTCGAATGATTCTACATAATACCCATCCGTTTATCGATTTCTACATTTATAAATGAAGCGGCTATATTTTAACAGAAATTTATATTTAAAGCTGTGCATTGTGGCTAGTTCGCTCTCTGGACATGGTGTAGGGCACTTCAATGGTACAGACAACAGCTAATGGAGATAGCCAATGTCCCTGGCCCAATGACGGCCTTTTCAGGAAAAACTATTATCAACAAAAACTTGGGTATATTTGTGGGTGCCACTGGGATTCAGTTCTAACAGTGCTAAGATCCTTCAGATTTGTTTCAGGATATAGATACTGACATGTCTAAACCCAGAATTTCCGTATTTGGTTTCTGAGGACTTGAACTTGGATCACAGTTTTACCCAATTGAATAGCTTTTTCGATCTAGGAGAGAAAATAACACCCTTTCACGGGGATGATATTTTTCGAGTACTTTCACTCTTCATTCATGTAAATTATGAATTTTATTTAATCGGTTGGAATGATTCAATATTAGCCTAATTCGTAGCATTAAATCTCTCTATGACACTTTGAGAAGAAAGAGTTCTATTCATTTCAAGTCAACGAAAGTAGAAGGCTGTATGTAAGCTCTCTGTTGCTAGTTCCAGGTCATGATGCATTCTCTTGACATCAACCATTACTTTATTTGATAATTCTCTTACCTTCGGACAGATAGGGAATGTTTCCGAGTCGTTTGGGTCGCGTAAGGTCTTCAGTGGGCCAGATTTTCTAGTGTCCCCAATAAAACCAGCGGCGTTTCCTGCTGTCTAAACATAGAATTGTGCCTCTGACTGCTCTGTATTCGGTGCGTTCAACCCGAAGAAATCAATTACATAAGAAGGCAGATAACAAGCTATATTGTATTATCCACAGCCATAAGTAACCAATATGAAACACGAAAATAATTATCTTTTTCTCTGGGTCATGTATAAAATAAGGGAGGCATCGTGTCTTTAGCATGTACACAAGAGCCGCTAAACACTGCGTTTGATTGGGTTAGAAAGACCTAATGACAGTATTCCGAGTATCAAGGACCTTTGGATGATTGTTCTCCTCACCTGTCCCCTATACCTTTTCCGGTTTTGCTGATTATCCATAATGTTTGACAGAATCTTATTCTTTTCAGAGTTCAGAAACAGTGCTAGAGGATTTCCTCTGGGCGACATTGACATGGGCCCTGGAAAGAAAGATTATATGATGTTGTGTATATATGTAGAGAGGGGAACATTTCCCAAACGCCTGGAAAATAAATAATTAAATACATTTCATTACGATTCATCTTTATGAATATTATCCTTTATTGATGTCAGGACCTGTTATCCTTCAGGGGATGAATCTCACCTTATATCCCAGTGGAAGAATAATTTTACTGGGGATGAAGGGCTTCCGAAATAACTTTTTGAATATTTTTAACGTCATTTTAGCATTCTTCGAGAGGAGATGCCAAGGTATTAACTGTCCATGTTTGGTGTATGTCCATAGCCTATTTTAGTAGAAATTTCTGAGTTGAAGTTGTAGACCGTAAGCTGTACTGAGCAATGATCACAAAGCATTGACTGCCCTGCGGTAGTCTTGATGTGGGTTAGGTCAATCCGCATCTTTCAGTACGTTTTCAGGTAGAAAGGTCTGACCTGGAATAGTAAAATAAGTGCCATTGAATAATGACAGTAGAATATTCACCTCACATCACTAACATAGATCTGTGTTAAATCAATATGGTTCTTTTAGCATATCTTCGGGAACTTTAGTCCTTATAGATAAATGATTGGAAGTTATTGAGCCCCAGCTCTGATCTTGATTCTGGCTAGACCAACCAAACCTGGTAACCGAGGAAATTGGTTGTGCCAAGAAAAAAAAAATGATTTTTTATAGAAAAGATTACAGTAATTATTATAGAAGCAGATATTATCTCTTTAATGTAGAGCTTTTACAAAAAACCCCTGCCCTTCGCTTTTCCCATCACATCTCTCAAGAACTGCTCCATTACTGTCATGTATGTATATTCAGGAACAATTGTGGGAGGAAGAAGGGAACGATTTGGGTTAGAACACAATGAATATGTGTCTTCATCTTCTTCATTCTTCATGTATTTTTACCTCCTAACTTCTTTTTCTTCATGTTTTTCGCCTTTAATTCCTTCACATACTCTTCATTTCTTTTCCTGCTTTTTTATCTATTAATTGGTACATTTCTCAACATTTTCTGGAACATAAGATCTGATTCTCAACGATCTAACTACTTTGTCTCATCAGGAGGAAAATAACTAGTTAATGACATTAAAAATAAATTCAAAAGAAAAAACTATTTCTTGAGGCCTTTTTTCATCATTAAAAATAAGTTCTTCACTGTTTTACGTCAATGCCTCATGGGAGTCTCTTGATGAATGGTCAGATGCAGTCTGTCTTTGTTTGCACCATTTACAAATGATGAAAGGGCGATGTCCTTGCTGGAATGATGTCTGGCTAAGATAGTTTACGAAGTTTAAAGCACAAAGAAAGCTAATTTTTTTCCATTGAATCGGTATAATTTGTTCAAGCTACGAAGCATATTTCCATGTTTTCTGAGTCCAAGATAATTTATTCCTAGCCGTTCTATTAATTGACAAGAACCCGAATAGATTATTTGGATATCCTTCAGATTCTTTATAATGATCAGAGGTTCGGGTCACACAGATCTATTCATGGGAACGATTTTCATATCGATCTCATCAATGATTTCCAGACCCACGAAAAATATGATTTTGCTACTTATTCTTGACACAACAGGTAATGGGATAAAAAAAACGAACGAAAAAGTTATGCTCTTTACAAGACATTATAGTGAGGGAGCGAGCGAGCGAGCGAGAGAGAGAGAGAGAGAGAGAGAGAGAGAGAGGAGCTGAGAAATCAAGGCCATGTAGTGAACTCTAGGACCTTTAAAACGATTTCGATACCAGTTGGGATCTGCCATGCGAAGAGCAGGAGGTTGAGGCCATTCAACGCGATGTGAAGATTCCTCGCCGATTCGTTGCCCTTCTGCATTGAAGGGACCAGTGCTGCGGCAGCCGCCCACAGGACGGTGATGGCTGCATCGACGTCAGACGGGCAGTGGGTCAGCGACACTATAGGAACTCCGTATCAGACTGCTTTCTTCTGCATTTTAATGGAGAGGGAGGAGAGAGCTCGTACTGGCGCCGGCGAACAGATGCGGCCCCGGGAAGAGCTTCCCGGTGCGGAACCAGGTGTTCAGGCAGCCACCGACGGCCTCGAACACTCCGAAGCCCAGAAGTATCGAACCCGCGTTGAAGTGTCGTTCCCTGTACGAGCCCTTGAGAAGAACTTTCCTCTCCTGCAGGACCATCCTCACATATATAAGCAGCTAATTGGGTTTCTCCGAGGAAGAAGAGGAGATGATCGGATGGGTTTCACCTCAGTGAGCTGCAGGATCTTAGATTCTACTGGGGACGGCGCGGCCGGAGGGGCAGCTGCCTCCTCGGCGCCGGTGGACAGCACGGCTGACGGCGCCGGCTTCACCTGCTTCTTGAGCTCGTTGACCTCATCCTGGATGGTCCGGATGCGCCGCCACTGCCATCCGAGGTAGCCCGCCCACAGGGTGTAGACGAAGAGTCCCCCCATGACGACAGGATGGACGAGCGCCAGAGTCCGGCCCTCCAGAATCCCAAGCTCCCCGCCGACGGCCATGGCATCCTGGGGCGAGACGAAGGAAGGCAATGTGATCACTGAGGCAGCTACTGCGGCGGTGAGGAAGGGGGATCCCTCTGCAAGGGCTCCGGCGACAGAGTGCTGGAGCTCTGAGAGCGGCCGCTGCGCCAGGGATTGGGTGCTCTCCTTTGCTGCGGCATTGATCCTGGGGGAGACCCTGGAGGCGATCTTGACGGGGAGGCTCCGGCGTCGGGGGAGAAGACTCAGGCCAAGCGCGGCGGCGGCGGCGGCGGCGGCGGCCATAGCTCCTTCCCAGAACCTCTCTGGATTCCCAACTGATCACAGCGTGGCGGAACGAGGGCGGAAGAATAGAGGAGCTCCGCAAGTGGGATAAGGCTGCAGCAGCCATGGAGAGGGGAAGGAGCCCTGTGGATCACACATACCCCCACAAACAAACGAGGCGGCGCACCATTGGCTGCGTAAAAAAGCTTCCCCATTTACGTGGCGCCACCAGAAGCTTCGTGCATCTGGGCCTGGTCAACTCTAGATTTGGCATTGGGCAAATTTGTGTTGGGCCTAGCCAGAAAGTTGGTATCTTGAGCTGATCGGGCCTGAAGATGGAAACCTGGTTATCCCCTTTCACCGCCACTCTCAGCCGCCGGCCAACAACCAAAGACTCCTGCCGCCGCCTATTGCGCCTGTTGTCACAGGCAGGAAGCTTGTCACTACCAAGGAGAGTGGCCATTCATGCTGCATTATTTATCTCATATTATTGTATAAAACAATTAAAATAACGTTTGCATGTACACGGGGGGAACTCTGCGAGGGGTGTGACAACAGTCTCAGGGGGAAATATATCCTAATGTAGTAGCATTAGAAATTTAAATGCTCCGTAAAATATCTACTATCGAAATAATTCCCAAGCAGTTCATAAGTTATAAGCCAATAAAATATATATTTTCATGTTTCATTTGGGAAGATAGTTGGGGAACAATATATTTCTGGAGTTAACTTCAATAAATTTAAATGTCATCTCGTCCAACAAGCTATCTGATGGTCATATAGATGTGTAGATCTCAACAACGCAAAAAATTAAATATGGTAATAAAAATTAAACTTCATGTCCATACCATGTACGATAAATATTATTTATTTATGACCAACTAAAGAGGATGACTAAATATATTATGAAAAAATCGTCTTTATTCATGCGAATTAATTTTGTATATCCCACATCATGCTTCCATCATATGGACATTCGTTCGGAGTGACATCAGTGTTTTTTTAAATATAGATCTGGGATTATTTTTTTTGTTGAGGAAGATGGTTTAAGAGGATCAACCCTTTTCACACACATAAAAATGAATAGGGTTCCCCACTCTTTTCTGATACGATATTCCCACGTGTAGAGCCATTCAATCATTTTAGTGCTCTAGCGGTTGGTTTCTTAAGTAAGCTTGCTTTTAAATAATAATTAGTGATAAAAATTTTCCGTGTGTAGTGAACAAAGGGATTACTTTCTAATGAGAAGATATATAATTTTGAACTAGTCGTCAATAAATGCTATGAAATTGAAGTTATAATTCGATTTGGAACGCCTAAAACTAAATGCTTTTATGTGGGGTTCAAAGCCCCCAATTGTTGGGGCCCAAGAGATCTAACTAGTTTTCTACTTCGTTGAACGCTTTGCCATATTGTATGTGCACTAGGGTAAGAGGTAGAGAGAGGGAGAGTGGGTGATCAATGGGTAGAGAAGATTTTGCTTAATCTAATTATGATTGAAAAATTTCCAAAATTTTTAGCATCCATTAGAAGATGTTAGTAAAATATTTAGGGTGTCATTTTAACGAAGGATTTTTTTTTACAAACAGAAAATTAATGTGCCCATATCAGCACATAGATCAACAATATAGTCTACAAGGGCTCTACTGCCCAATTTATTATGAACAAAGTATGTGGGACAAAAGACTGACATATTGGCAGTAGGTGATGGCTGGTGGCGGTGGATTGAAAGGATACTAGATTAGATAGAACACTGTTGCGTGTGAATCGGAAGAACAAAACGAGAAAGAGAAGAACGACGGTAGAGAATCAATGACCGACAAAAAATCTCTGGCGATCTATTTTGATGGTCTGGAGAAATCTTGAACCTAAAGGGAAAGAGCTGGAGAGGAACTTCACTTCAATCTGAAAGTCAAAATGGAAAGAGAGACTCAAAACAATGACATACAGATTTGCTATACGGAAGTCTCGGAGAATGACAAGACGAGTCCACTTCTTCTGTGCGGTCTCCTCTACATAGGCCGTTAAACCCCCGAGCAAGCCATATCCGTGAACTCTATGACAACCGTGAGGAAGAAAGGATCCCAGAACCGTCAAATACACCGGGGAGAATCTGAGGAGGCTAGCAACGTGTCTCCTCACAAAGCCGTTTCAAAGATCTCGAGCGAGAATCCGAAGTGATGAGACTAAGCTACAGCGATCTTGGAGCAGTTCCAATGCATCAAAGAGCGACACCGTTGGTGTAACAGTGGGCACATAGTGATCGATTTTATTCTGCTCCCTTTCAAGGCGTCGTCTTCCTGTGACGGCACTGCAGAGGGAATTCCAAAGGCGGTGCCTCATTCACAAAAGCTTCACTCTGGAGAGGACAGTTAACGGGCTTCAGAAAGGACACTTTATCAAGCTTTGTCACGGCCCTCGCATAGGAGACGACGACTGTAGTTCTTCGCTCGTAGTTCACGGGCTGCATATTTTTCCACATCTGATGTTCAGGCGTCTGATAAAGTTAGAAAGTTTTGGAAGCACGCATGCATGACAACGTGTGTGTGTGAGTGAGTGAGTGAGTGAGAGAGAGAGAGAGAGTTTCGCCAAGAACTCACTGCGACGGCAGGCCTTCAGAGTGCCCCACTCTGGAAGAAATTGTTGTATCTCCGATGTCTTCGCTTCCCCCTGGCTACTGACTGACTTACCTAACCAGAGCGCACGAATCTCTCAAGAGTTTTCGGGCAACCATCAGAACCAAGGGATGAAATTGGTAAACAAGAATCTCCTATTTCTGAAGGGTTGTCTTACGAATAGGATGCTACACCGTGATACATGGGTCACTGCGTTCTTACCCAAACAAGAGAAGGTAAAACCCTAAAACGTACAACGGTCTAAGATTTTCACAGTAGAGGAAGAAACTCCCCGAGTGGTTTTCTTCAGCTTCAATAGCGGAAGGGGGAATATCGATTAAGCAAGCCCTTGGGGAGGAGGAGTGCATCCCGAAAAGAGTCTTAACAACAGAAAGGGCGGGGTTTGGAAAGGGTCGATTCCCTAGCACTTTGGATTTGTGGTCTGGTCAAAGAACAATGAGAATATATCTGGGCCCGAGTTTCAATATTGAAACTAATTTCATTAAATGATCATGGCTCCAGGAAAACCCGGATAAGCAAAACATCAAAGAAAACTCTGAGTCTTGTCACCTTCAAGAGCAAAAGCATATTCTGGGTTACAGTTTAATATCTTAATCTGTAGTGGCATTCCATTGCGGGGTATCGTCCACTATATAATATGAGATTCTGGAGAGAGAGAGAGAGAGATGCCTGCTCTCTTCGGGGTTTATTGGCAGCAAAAAAGGGTATTCATTGCCCCTCAGTTCCGAGATGAAGATTTACGCAGCAATAAATTAGGGTTTTAGTTTTTATTCAAGCAACTCACCCTGTAGATACTTGTGGGCGGCGTGGGAATCTATGACGTTAGGTCACGCACCATGACATTCCATCACTTCGAGGAACTCTTCTCCTTCCCGCTTCATTTCCTCGCATCGTTCACCTGCTCGCGCTCTCCAATATCGCATTCCGATGACGTTCTCATGAAGTCACTCATCTTTTTCCTTGATCAACTCGCCGCCGGCCTTTCTCTCCCCGTCTTCCTCCTCCCACCTTTCTCTCCTTCCCGATACGTTGTGCTGTCACGAAGATCTGCCGTGAACACAAGTGACAGGTTCTGGAGAGATTAGTGCGATGATGGAAAGGACGGGACGGGACAAATTCAGAGGAGGGAGAAGATAACGAGGCTGATTGTCGTTGTGTTTAATAAAAAACAGGGCCTTTTTTTGGTGCAACATCTGATTCCGTTATAGATAGATATCAAGCGCGACGCAAAAAGAAGGTGGCAGATCAAAATGTTCGAGACATCTACAACAAAATCAGACCCGTCTGCTTGGAGAGTTAAATGAGCTTTATGAGTAGTACATAATAAGGGCAAGGAAGTTATCGTTTCTCCTAGAAGTTCTAAGTTTTTATGCCATCAATAGGTGAAAGAACCTCCATGTAAGTCTTATTCGAGTCGGCGACGGAGTTCCGTGAATAAGTCGGCAGAGATCCACAGAGAAAGAAGCAAGAAATCGTGAGGCCCAACTACGATCGAAATGGTTCTTTGAAGATATCTCCATGTCTTTATTCTCATGCATCTGTTCGCGGAGAACCTCTTTAATCTACAAGGAATGTTTAGCAGAGGAAATTATTCAGAGGTTAGGTCATAACGGGTTAGGAGAGAGAGGAACGGAAGGGGAGAGAAGGAGGGTGGGAAGAGGGGGGGCGGAGAGAGAGAGAGAGCCTTAGAAGAACACATGTGTCATACTCTCTGTGTCTACGCAGTGCCTTTCATCTCCAAGGAACAGTAAAAAGCAGAAACAATGTATTCCGTGGTTAGGACATAAACGATGAGAAAGGGAAGAGAATAAGATGTACGATCCGTCTCTCTCTCTGTCTCTCTCCCTCTCCATCTCTCTCTCTCTCACTCTCTGTAGGCAGTACCCCTTCCTTCTGCGAAGGACAGTTAAAAACAAAAACAATGTATTCACCAGTTAGAGCACAAATGACGAGAAAAGAGGAGCGCCCAGACGTGCAGGTTCACCTCCCACGTTTCCTGCTATTATAGTACCTCTTTCCTCCACAAAGAGTGGTCGAAAGGAAACATACTATTTTTGTGGGGTTAGGATCATAAACATTGAGAAAATAGGGAGAATATGTGATACGTCAAACCATCTCTCACTTATCTTCCTTGTTCGCTCTGTGAAGAATAATAAAAAGAAGGACGCACCTAGTGATTAGACAATTACGAGTAAGAAGAGAGAGAGAATCATACAGTCACAGGCGCATCTCTTTTCCCTCTCACCCTCCGCAGTACCTGGTTCTTTGACAAGGAATGCTTAAACAACGAGAAAGTGTTCGACAGATAGCTTCGTTTTACAAATAATGGTGAACTCAGACCAAAATATCCACATATTTAATCATGAACGGCGAGAGTAGTGAGAC